AATTGTGATTGTTCTAGAAACGTCATAAGTCGTTTCTGGAAGGCAGGGTTACGAGACCTATATAAGGGATTGACAGGCACGGACGGAAAGACGGAGATTCAGAAATAAATTATTAACTTTAAGAGACGTGTATTATTCTTTCTGTATTTGTGTGCTCATACTCATATGTGTTTATTTCGAATTCATCATTATTTATTGGCACAATATTCTAACTGTATTAACTGTGTACCTGTAAAAGATCTACCATACTATAAGTTGATGATTTGTAATGATATTTCTTTTCTTTTGTAATTACATAAATACTTATTAAATCTTATTAATTGTAACTAGAAACTGTTTTGGGTGGCGTATCTTTAATATTGTGACTCTAGGGTATCGTCCTTTGTTAGACACTGTTTACAACGAGCCAATTAAAATTTAAAAAGGATATTAATTTCTCATATTGAAGCCAGTGCGTAACAGTACAGAGATGCGGCATTATCCTATAACTGCAGAGTTTGTATCGGGAAAATTGAGCGGAAAAACATATGACCGGCATGATTGCACTTAAAGTAGCCACACCTTTATGTAGTGTATCTTTCGTCACCAAAATTGTTGAACATTATAATCTGGGGTAAGGGTAGATTTCAAGAGTGCAGTTGAATAATTTCTTTAATTTCAGCCATTTCTCCGGGGGGGGAGGGACTTGACCTTGCCGGGGGAAGCCCCCCCCCCCCCCGAAGAAGAGATGGCTGAAGGAAACCCTGAGGATGACGAACCCTCAAAAAAGTTTTAACCATTTTAAAACATAATTTTAAACAGTGTACGTTTACTCTCATTGTGCTGCTTTTTTTGCCCGTTCTTTCCTGCTTTCTTTGCGAACATGGTTCCTTCGTTATAGTTATTGGGCGTGAAATAAAAAGTGTGCAGTGGCGTATCATCGTGGAAGTGGTGTGATGAAATGTGGGATTCTTCTATGTGCATTAGTTGAGTTCATGATTCGTCAAGTAACTTTAGTAGATGGTGAGTTCATGCATTGCTGTCGCCAATGTTTGGCGGTCTATATCTAAGGCTTAACGGGCTGCAATTTTTTTTTTTTAAACCGACACCGGCTATTTTGAGAAAATAAATTTTTCCTCCAAGCGTTAAAAATAGATTTAACGTATCATAATGTGTTAGCTATTGATCTACCGACAGTGTATAAACACATTGGGATAACTGTTTCCGTCACGAAGTCTTCACTCATCTATAAGCAATTCTTCGGCGTATGCTACGCCGCGTGTAAATTAGTATATTTTAATAAGAGTTTTGTTTTTTTAAATATGTATGTGCTACAGTGTTTCTGGATAGTTTGTATTTTATTTAAAGCTGCAATTTTTAAATCCAGACAACTCAAAGCTGCTCAAAATATATATGTGTTTATTCTTCAATGCAGAACTTGATCTAAATGACGCGGGGTCCTTATGTTGTTTACGCTTAATGTGTACTATCTTGTGTATGGTCAGATCCAATTCTAATTAGGCTCTCATTCATAATAAGAAAAGAAAACGATGCATTTAAAAAAGTTTGTAAATTCATTTCAGTAACGTGATATAAATTTTCTTTTTTCTTTTAAATAAATGTTTTTAAATTTTTTAATTTTTTTTTATCTTTAAAAGTGAAAAATTTATTTCCGATTTTAGTAAAAATCTATACTTTCGTTCAACAAATAAGGTCACTGAAACTGATATTAACTTTTTTTTGGACATAACTTATATATGCAATAGAGGCTCGTCTGAGAATTATACAATAAAACAAAATGGTTCATATTTATATAAATATATGTATATATATAAATATATATATATATATATATATATATGAACTGGAGTCAACACATGAAATTCTAATCATAAAAAAGCCATTTCTTAACAAATCAAATACTGTTTAATGGTTTAAAAAAAGATGGGTTAAGATTTTCTTTAAAAATTGAAAATATATATTTGCTTTACCTTTGAAAAAATTAAAGATGGTGCATACATTTATGAAATTAATGAGATTTCTTTAAAAAAAAAATACACACTCGACTGTTATAGACGTGAAAAATTGTTAAAAAAATTTTGTTTAAATAGTAGAAATATATATTTTTGTTAGATTTTATAGTAGAAAAATCATGCAAAATTAGGTATAATTTGTAATGAAGATATCAGTACATTAAATCCGATAATATAACATAAATTTAAAATGATAATTTGAGTTTTTTTTCTAAATTTAATGTTGAGTTTTAGAATTTTTTTAGAATTTTTTTTTTTTTTAGCTAAAGAGCTTGGTATGCTGTATTGTTAAGAATTTAAAAACAGAAGATATCACAGGTTCTCTTTAGCACAGCAATTACCCGACAATGAACTTCTTTAGTGTTAATACTGATTTAATTAGTGATGATTTACATTTGTTAATTTAATGTAATGTTAAGGGAAGAAAATATTGTTGTTTAAAAAGGAGTAAGGTATAGGTATAATATTTAGACGAAAACATATTTTTCAAAACATTGTGTTATTAAAAACGTAATATTAATTATATAGATAAATACTTTTAAAATACTTTTAAAATAATGAATTGTGATGTGTTTTTGTAATAGCAAGGTGCCTTGGAGAAAGCTATTAATTTTGCTTGAATTAATAAGAAAATATGATAAAAAAATAAATTTTGAAAATCAAAATTTGATTTTAGACACAAAAAATGATGATCAAAATGTGTCGTTTATTTCAGCGTTCCACAAATGGTGTTCCGTTGACCGGCCCCGTTTTGCAAGCCTTACACTGCGGTCAGTACACAATTAATATTTATAGTCAAATAAAACAAACAAATAAATAAATTATGCACTGGGAACTGATGCAATTTCTAAACTTGCCCTCTAGTCCACAAACTTAAAATTTTGACGAACGATTGCATACGTTTTACAATTATTAAAAACAAAAATAATTAAATTTAATAAACAAAATCATAACATTATTACAATGAATTAAATTATATCTTTAACATAGTTCACTGAATATAAAAAGATTACATTTGATTTAATTAATAGTTCAATAAATATATCGATGTTTGGATAATTTAATTTAATATTTTAATATGACTAATGAATTAGCCATATATATATATATATATATATATATATATATATATATATATAATAAGAGGTCTTATATAGCGCGGTACCCCGCTGGGCTCACGCGCTGTACATAAAAATTGTATCAAAAGAGATATTTTAATATGTCTAATAAATTAGACATATATATATATATATATATATATATATATATATATATATATAATAAGAGGTCTTATATAGCGCGGTACCCCGCTGGGCTCACGCGCTGTACATAAAAATTGTATCAAAAGAGACATTATCATGACATTAAAATAAAATATATATTATATACATTGAATACTTGTAACTGTAATTGTCCCCTGCGATACCAAACTAATGATATTTACAATAGTTTTTTTTTAAAATATGTTATTAGTTTTATGTTAAATTAATATATATATATAAATATATATATATATATGAAGCTCCTATAGTAAATATTTAATGCTTTTACTAATTAATAGATATAAAGTACATGTTTTACATTCCAAGTAAAATAAGACAAAATCTCTCTTCAAGCTTGGAAAATCCCAAACTGATTTATGGATGGGATTTAGATCCCAGGATAGAAAAAATTCTTGAAATTTCATCACAAAAAGCAATTTTAACAACAGAAAGAGCATAAATAAAACTTTTAGAATTAAAGATTAGAGTGTGTTTGTTCAATCGATATATTTTTTATAAAAAGAAAAATAAGATGGGCGTTAGTGGTGGTCGCCATATCTTTACTTTGAAGTAAAATCAGGACAAGAGACATGTGTAAACAGTGGGATAATTAAAGACTAATTAGTGTACAATATTTTCCATCATCATTACTTGTAATGAAAACTAATTTAACCTGTTTTATTTCAAATAAACTTTTTTTTTTCCTCAACAGTTTGAAACATATTTTAGAGGAACATATTTGCTTAGAAAATTATGTATGCTGAAAATAAAGTGATGAATAAAAATCCCTCATGAAAAATAAACATAAAATTATCCGTTACAAAAAAAAATTAACATTTTCAATGAAGTTTAATGGTAAGAGATTAAACGAAATCAACGTGCGAGAAGTTAAAGGGAAATAAAAAATTTTAAGTTTGAAACACAAATAATAATTTGATAATTCCGACCTTTATAAAGTAACACATAATAATTAGAAGAATACACACAAATTAAGAATACATAAACACAAGACAAACCCCATGCAATACATTTTAATATCAGTACAGTTGATTTACTTCAAATTATATCTACTCTTAAAGTTGGAAAATGCTTCAATAAAGCTTAATTTAGTATTGTATACGTAAGAAATAAAAATCTAACTTAAATGTTTTGACAGAAATTACTAAATGAACTAGTAAAATTTAAACAAAACGTTACATTGAAGAAAGAAATCATATATTAAGACATGATAAAACTGCATTCAAAGGCTGTTGATAAACTTTCCTGATATTTATTTTGTAACATTGTTAATTTTCAAATTGCGTAATTTATTGAATTTTTTAAACAATTCTACACATTCTCTGCATAATTAAACATTTATAAAGCATCTCACTAAAGACACAAATATATATATATATATATATATATATATATATATATATATTTTTGTGTGGATTTCTTAGATTTTTTATATGTTTATAAAAAATAATATATATTTTCTATTNCCATATGTGCAATGAATTAGGTGATCTTTATCTCTGTTATATTTAACTAAAATATCACTAAAAAATACCGCCTATATTTTTTAATCCTTAAAAAAATATGAAGAAGTTTAAGTTTTTCGTTAACTAAGTAAGTTTTAATGCAACCTAAAACAAAAAATATTACGTAACGATAATGAAAATCTTGTTTTTTTTTTTGTTTTTGTTTTTTTAAATTGATAGTGTATACGTATAATTTTCTTTTTCAGCGTTTGCAAGTGTTTTCCATGATTTATTAGAAATTTCTGTAGAGATTTATTTCAATCAATTTTTTAAACAATCGTGCTGTAATGACAATCTTTTGATTCTAACTGAAATGAAATAATTCTGGTTATATGTAAACATATTTTCGTTAACAAATGTACAAAGTTAAATTTACTTTTTACCACTATAATAACTTTTATCTCTATGTTTCTATAGAAACACCAATGTTTGTGTATTTTTCTAAAGATGTTAACTTAAATAAAAATGATAGTGACTAATTAAAAATACTAATACGTAATGAAATAATTTATTTAAATATAACGATATGTTTAAAAAAAAGGTCAGTTAATATAATAATTAAAAAGATTGATATTGGGTTTTTGGTATGTAACGTATTTTTTTGTATGTTATTCACTGCATATTTTAGTTTTACTTTTTGCTATATGCTATCTCTGTATTAAAACATATTTAAAAAAAAATAAATTAAGTTACTTTATTTTGTCCAACCCAAATCCTTAAATTGATTTGTGTCAATCTCATCAATTCCACTTGTCATCCCATCCTGAATATAGCCTCCAAGCAAGGGAATGAACCTAAAAACTTTACCAGCTATTTGCCAATCATTTCTGACTTTTTTATCATTGATTATTTTGATCAATTTATCTAATTTTGTTTTGAGTTGATCAGCATCAGTTGCGTCAATTACATTTTCTCGTACTTCTACTAGAAGTTTACAAGCCTTTTCATTATATAAGTGGTATGTACTGACCCAGGTACCCTTCGGAAGATTGCTTAATTCACTAATGAGACCATTTATTTTTTCTTGCATGGGTAAGAAATCAGCTGCACGTTTTCTTAGTGCATTATATTTATGTGTACATTTGTCAAACATTTCTTTACATTCTTGAACTCTTGGATTCAACTTGTCTAAATCAAATTTAATGCTATCTAAAGTTCTTAAACATGCTTGTTTGGTAGGATCAACAGTTTTGAGAATATCAGATATCTTTGAAATGTCCTCTAAAATGGAATCATGAGCGTACCTTTTTAGTATCGCAAGCTTTTCGCCCGCTTCATCTCTTTTTACATTTATCGAATTTGAATACTTTTCGTCAAAATTTATGTTATCACTTCTGCTTTTTATATTGGAAAATGTATTATTAATATCGGATAATTTTTTTGATATTTGTTCACTACGTGGAGGGGTTACAAAAATGTTCCTTATCAGATTATTGTATTCTTCAATTATTTGGTTTGCTGCTTTTGATTGCCTCTCATTTTCGACTTCTATGTTTATTTTTTTAATAATATTTGTTGCATATCCTAGAATTGTAACTCTATATTCTTCACTAACAAACTTTTCATTCTTTACTTTCATTTCAAACTTAAGTACATCATCTTTTATTTTATTTAAATTGTTGACCTTATTTCCATTTAATATATTAACTTTGTTAAGACTTTCTTGAAAATTTTTAATCTCTTTATTAAGTTCATTTTGCTTCATTACTTTTACTTGTTCTTTAATTTTGTTTATGCTTAACCTAGTCGTACTTATTTCTGAAATTAGCGTCTTATTAAAAGAATCAATGAAATGACTATCAATTATCTGTTGCTGCAATGTATTTAATGTTTTTTCATTTTCTGAAATGAGTTCGCATACCGTTTTATCTGTTGTTTCAATGGCATTTATTTTTGATGCTAGATCTTTAATTGAAAGCTGCAGTTTACGCACACGACCAAACTGTTCAACAATATCTTCTAATTTCCTAAGTTCTTCCGTAGCTTGAACAATTAAATTTTGAAACATAATACAGCGATATGCGTTAAGTTGCTCTTTGTTTTTGTTTAGTTCTTTTTCAAAATCATTTATATCTTTTTTTAAAGTAATCAATATTGTGCTAATGCTCGGGTCATTATGTTTTGTTTGTTTTATTCTTAGAATTAAATTTTCAATTTGAGAATTTAGTTCACGTTCTTTGTTTTCTTTTACAGATTGTATCAAATTTTTCATTTTCTCTCTGACATTTTTTATCTCTTCATCCAATTTAAATGTAAATTCAAGTCCTAATTTTTCATTTTGCACCTTTTTCTTCAAAGTATCAATTTTTTCTTCAAATGTAGCGATCTGGTTAGGTATCATTGTAACCGTTAATTTAGTATCCTTTATCTCTTTTTCTAAATCTTCAATATTTCCTAAAAATGTATCTGTTTTCTTGGATTGGCGAAGAGCTTCCCGTTTATCCTTAATATTACAGTTAATTACATCCAAAAGTCTACTTGTATTATCAAAAAATGTTTCATTCATTACGTTTGTTTCTTGTTTAAGTCTTTCAATTAGAGCCATTCGCTCCTTGTCTATTTCTTCAAGACTTATAGATACATTATTATTACCAATCTTAACCAATTTTAATCTTTCAGAAATGTTATTAATAAGTGTATAAATTTCTTTTTCTTTTCTTTGTTTTACTTTATCTTTAAGAATTTTAAGTTCTTCTAAAGCTCTATGTATTAAATTATTTACTATGGCTTGAATGTCTTTTCTTAAATCTTCTTTCTCTAATTTTAAAAACATCTTATTTAGACTTTCTTGAAAGCTAGACAATATACTATCTACACCAGTAGCATCAGTGTTTGTACTTTTTATCTGGTTTTCAAGTTTAATTATGTCTTGTTCCATTTGATCTGCCTTGGACAACTGCATTATTGTCTCCTCTTTCGTAATGATATCATTTTGAATATTAGTTAAAGATTCTTCTACCATTTTAAAAAAGGCTTCTCTAAAGTAAATCTTTTCTTGTTCAAATTTACTTTTAAAGATGTTAAACTCATTTTTTAACTCATTAAATAATTCACGCCTTTGGATCTCTTCAATTTCCGGGCTTTTAAAACTTTGAGTAAAGTGTTGTATTTTTGAATTAATTTCAGTTTCCTTCTGCTGTTGAACTTTTATTTTCAGTAGTTCTAACTCTTGTTTACAGTGATTTAAATTTAAATAAATGTAATCTGAATTTTCTTTTGACACAAAGCCTTCTATTATGGTATCATCCATTTTTGTAAGTTCATTTTCAAATTCCACAATAATTTCATTTATGTCTTTATCTTGTGTATTTGTTTTTTTTATGTTCTCCAAAATTTCATTAATTCTAACTTCTAGTTCATCTTTTATTTTAAGCTGCTCAACTAGTTCTTTACTTTTAAAAGTTGTCTGGTTCAGATGTTCAAAAGATTTACGTATTTTATCCAAAAGCCTTGTTTCACCTGATTTGTAATAAATTTTGTCTGGTGTATCATAATCATTAACCATGTTTAACATTTGAAGAATGTAGTCTTGAATTTCTGTAATGTCATCTAATGATTCAGACGTTAAATTAAGTGCATCTAGTTTGTCTTTTAGTTGATCGATTTCCTCTTGAAATTCTTGTTCATAGTTAGACAGCTTCGACTCCAGTTCAAGGCGATTTTGCTCTTTTATGGCTTCTTGAAATTTACTTTTAGTATATCCTTGGTCAAGTTCTTGCATATATTGAATCAGCGTGTTAAACTGTTCAATCTGTTTTGTTTCATCTTTTGTCTTGTTGTAAAACAGTACACATTTATAGTTACATTTTTTAAATAATTCCCCAAGAGCATTTTGTTGATTTGTCATATATTGTTTAAAACTTGTTTTGCCTTCATAATTACCATCAAACAATTCACCCATAGTCATTACTAAGATGCACGATTTCCAAAGATTTTCTTTTCCAAAAATATTTTCGAGAATATACAGAGCTTTCTGGTTCTCTTCGGTGAAACGTTCACCGTATTTAATTACAAAAATAACAGCAAGTTTTCCATCAGGTGGACATTTTGTCATTGCATGTTTTATTTCTTTGCAAGCTTTTAATTTAGCTTCATTTGCAGTTACTTCTGTATCCATAAATCCAGGGGTGTCTACCACTGTTACAAGTAAGCCTGATCTGTTTGCGCATTCTATTGAACATTCTTCAGTAACCGATTTATCTGAATCATTGCTAACAAATTTTTTCTCTCCAATAATAGAATTTCCAAGGGCACTCTTTCCAACTCCTGTTTTTCCAGTAAGCAAAAATATATACTTTTCTTCCGACATCTAAAAAAATGAAACAACAGTTTAATATTTTTTTGTTTTTTAAATAGAGTTAAAATGAATGTATTTTTTTTTTTTTTATGTATTTTATAGTTTTTTTTCCGTTATTTTTTTTTTTTTTGATATGAAAAAATTAATTACATTTACGCTTTAATTAAAGCTACATTAAAAAAAGCAATTTGCAAGGAATTTTTATTTTTTTTTTTTTTTTTAATATATTTTATATTAATTTTTTTTTTTTTTTTTTATTTATTTTATAGTTTTTTTTCCGTTATTTTTTTTTTTTTTGAGAAGAAAAAATTAAATACATTTACGCCTAAAATAAAGCCACATTAAAAAAAGCAACTTGCAAGGAAATGTGTAGCAGTTTAATATTTGCAATGTTGTTAATTACATCATCCACATCGACAGAGATTTATAAAACATGGCATATATTTATTTCAAATTTTATGGTAATATTCGCCATGGATAGTTTTGCACCAAGAACAAACAGCATTGTGTCAGATTTATTTGAGGGAAAGAAAGGGAAGGAAAATGTTTAATTTTCTAAAAATGATTCAATCACATGAACACTTTTAAAACAGCAATAGATTGACGACACCTAAACGAAATTAGTATGAATATAACAGCTGGAAATTATTTAGCGGAAAATTTCCCGAGCAATTTATCTATATGTTATTCATTTTTTTTGCTTAATTTTTTCATTTTGTTGAGGGATGTAGTTGGCTAGAGAACATTCTTCAATCACAAAATACCTACTTAACGATCTTTTTAGAAAAAAAAATCAAACATTTTATCATAAGCAAAACTAATTTTCTTTTCTTGTTTTGGGTACCTGTATTAGCAAAAAAACTGAGCTGAGGATTTAGTGTTTGGGATTTGCAGTGCCCTTACTAAATAATGATCGCTTGGTACTACTACTTGGAATATATTTTCTCAAAGAGGTTATATACTTATCAGTATTTTTTCTCATTACCTATGTGAATGGAAATAGAGATCTTTTGCACATAAGAGCATTTCAGGGAGACATATAAAAAAAAATAAGATAGCACATTGAATGGATGGATCTTGACCAAAATAAGTACATATCTATATTCAAATAACGAATGTTAGGAAATTTATAATATCCATTCTCCTGGGGCGTTGGGCTCCATTATTTTTTTTATAAGGTAAGTAAATTAATCCTACATGAATAGATGGATCCTTATCAAACTTAGTTCACATACACTTAGTTCACATAGTTGTACTCCTCTACACTACCAATACAAACTGCACGGCCATATTCTTGAGCAAGTTTCCTCCGTAAAGTACCTGGGTGTTACCATTCAAAGAGAGGTCCGCTGGGACGAGCATATTAACAATGTATATAACCAAGCAAACCAAGCCTTGGGGTTCTTAAGGCGAAATCTAAAGATTGGCAACTCCTGTGTGAAAGAAAGAGCATATAAAGCCTTTATCCGTCCGATTTTAGATTATGCATCTTCAGTCTGGGACCCATTTACCCAGAAGAGCATTGACAGGTTGGAGGCGGTCCAGCGACGAGCAGCACGTTTTGTCCTAAACCGCTACAGGAATACCTCTAGTGTTGGCAGCATGCTAGAAACACTAGGCTGGTCACCATTGGAGAAACGACGACGACAATCCAGGCTCTCCATGATGTACAAGATAAATAATGGGCTGGTCCACTGTTCCAGTATTAAACAGAAACTCGTCCCACTCCCCCATAGACAGCGACGAGGCCATGACAGGCAATTCAGGCTCATACCAGCAAGAAGCCAGTATAGGAGCTGCTCATTCCTGCCCAAGACAATCAGGGACTGGAACAATCTTTCAAAAGGAACAGTTGAGGCGACAACTTTAGACACATTTGTGTCTATTGCCACAAGCCTTCAAACCCCTAGTGCATAATTTCCTCATCACCACCAGTAACAGAAACATTGCAAATCCCATCTACATGCATAGGAGCCAAAATGATCAATAAATTGATCGTGGGCCCTTAAGATATAGAGGAAGAAGAGAAGAAGACTTGATTATTTATATTCAAATACCAAAGGTTACTGAACTCAAAATATTCATCTCTCTGTGGCCAGTTGCCATATTTTCTTTTTTCTTTTTTAAGCTTTATAAATATCAATAGGCCTAGACAACACTTGTGTTTCTTTGTCAATTGATGATAATGGTCTAGCGTGGTAGCAATACACTTCCTTGTCCGTATTGAAATATCAGTTTATTTACAACTATGAATATCCAATCTAGATATTTCAAGAAATTTCGATAACTTTAATAAGTTTTTTATCGGTAATTTTACCGATACATTTACAAACCGATTGTAATCGGGCAAATTCTAAATTTTAACTCAACAATGTATCTGAATGATTTTTATGGGGTTCCCCATCTCTAGCAAAATTAAATTAGGGAATTACTGAATGAACCCCCAAATTAGCATAATTGGATTATACCTATAACAGTGCATTTAGTTGTAAAATTGTTTGAGTTCAAGATATAAATACCTAGAGATTTCGGGATTGAAATATCCACAGGATTGGAACCATCCTGGAATATTGCCCCTGAGGATGGGAATCCCACTGGGAACTTGTATACTAACGACAGCGGGATATCGACTGGATTTGTAGCCCAACGGAATCGGAATAATTATAAGGCTGTAGACTATAGAAATTCTTTTGTTCCGAAAGTTATCCGCGGCAAATACCGGGTATATACGCTATTTTATAAATATATATAAATATATATATATATATATATATATACATATATCAATACTAATAAAAGGCAAAGCCTCCACTGACTGGCTCATCACAAATTCTCCAACTCCCCGAGTATATGGCAATTTGAAATTCGGCAGGCTTATTCCTTACAGCTCACATACAACAGTTAAACATGCTTCATTTCCAAACTCTGTACCGTTTGGGGCCGGGGGCCCAAAATGTCGTTTGTTTCCAATATGAGCTATATAAATAAAATGATCAACATATACTGCTACATGAATCGATGGATCTTGACCAAACTTAATACACATACTCTTGATTATCCATATTCAAATACCGAACGGTACTTAACGCATAATATCCACCCCTCTGGGGCCGGGGGCCCATTTCATTTTTCCTAATATAAGCCTTATAATTATCAATATGCTTAGTACTCCTACATGAATAGATGGAACTTGACCAAACTTAGTACCTATACTCTTGATTATCAACATTAAAATACCACTGTGTACTCAACTCATAATATTAATAACTCTGGGACCGGGGGCCCCAGTTAATTTTTTTTTCTTATTTGAGCTATTTTCTCCAAATTTCTCTGTAGATAGGAGGTTGAAATAGGGCAGGCTTATTCCTTACAGCTTACTTACAAAAGATCAGCAGGTTTCATTTAGATAGTCTACCCGGAACAGTCACAACTAGGGGCCCGAATTCGTTTTTTTTCTATCTATACTAATAAAGCCAAAGCCCTCACTTACTCACTCATCACTAATTCTACAACTTCTCTGTAGATAGTAAGCTGAAATTTGCAAGGCGTATTCCATTCAGCTTACTTACAAAAGTTAAGCAGGTGTCAATTCAAAACTATATACCGTTAGGTGCGGGCGCAAAATGTCATTTTTCACAATATGAGCTGTATAAAATAAAATGATCAACCAATACTGCTACATGAATAGATGCATTTCGACCAAACATAATATGCATACATTTGATTTTCCGTATTCAAATACCGAAGGGTACTTAACAAACAATATCCATCACTCTGGGGCGGGGGTCCCATTTCATTTTTCCTTACATAAGCTATATTAATATAAATAGACATAGCACTCATTCAAGAATAGATGGACTTGACCAAACTTAATAAACATACTCTTGAATATCCATATTCAAATACCGAAGGTTACTGAATTTATAACATCCGAAACTTTGGGGCCAGGGGCCTCATTTCATTTTTTCTAATATAAGCTTTATTCCAAAACTTCCCCTGTAGATAGAAGCCTGAAATTTGGCAGGCGTATTCCTTATAACTTACTTACAAAAGTAAAGCAGGTTTTGTTTCAAAACTCTACCCGGAAAAGTCACAACCGGGGGCGCCAAATTCTTTTTTCTCCTAATCTATACTAATAAAAGACAAAGCTCTCACTGACTGACACACTCATCACTAATTCTCCAAATTTCCCAGTAGATGGCAGCGTGAATTTGGAATGCATATTCTTTACAGCTCAATTACAAGGTTAAGCATGTTTCATTTCCAAACTCTATACCGTTTGGGACCGGGGCACCCGAATTCATTTTTTTGCTTATATGAGCTTTATAAATAAAATAATCAACATATACTGCTACATGAATCGATGGATCTTGACCAAACTTAAAACACATATTCTTTATTATCCATATTCAAATACCGAGGGGTACTATTCGCATAATATCCATTCCTCTGGGACCTGGGGCCCCATTTAATTGTTCCAAATATTAGTTATATTAATATCAATAAGTTTAGTACTCCAACATGAATAGATGGATCTTGACCAAACTTAGTACACATACTCTTGATAATCCATATTAAAATACCGAAGTGTACGGAATTTTTAATATCCTTAACTCTGGGGCAGGAGACACGATTTTTTTTTCTTATAGAAGCTATATTCTCAAAATTCCCCCATAGACAGGAGCCTGAAATTTAGCATGCTTATTCCTTACAGCATACTTACAAAATTTAAGTAGGTTTCATTTCGAAACTCTACCCGTAACTGTCACAACCGTGGGCCCCCAATTATTTTTTTTTCCTATTGCGAGCTATATAAATATAATTAACAACAAATACTTCTACATGGATAGATGGATCTTGACCTAACTTAGTACAGATACTCTGGATTATACATATTCAAATACCGAAGGGCGTTGAACTCATAATATCCATACATCTGTGGCCGGGGGCCCCATTTTATTTTTCCTTATAAGCTATATGCTCCAAGTTACCCTATAGATAGAAGCCTGTAATTTGGAAGGCTAATTACTTACATCTTACTTACAAAAGGTCTGCAGGTTTTGTTTCCGATCTTGACCAAACTTAATATACATACATTTGATTATCTATATTCAAATACCGAAGACTAGTAAGTTTATAATATCCTTACCTCTGGGGCTGGATTTCATTTTTTATTTTATAATATATATTCTCCAACTTTCCCTGAAGACAGAAGTCTGAAATTCGTAAGTCTTATTCCTTATAGCTTACTTACAAAGGATAAGGGGGTTTAATTTCAAAATTCTTACCGGAATGGTGAAAACTGGGGGCCCGGATTTTTTTCTACTTAAATTATATATATAAATAAAATTAACAACAATTACTTCTACATGGATAGATGGATCTTAACCAAACTAAGCACATATACACATGATTATCCATATTCAAATACCGAGGTGTACTGAACTTATAATATCCATAGCTCTGGGGCCGGGGGACCATTTTTATTTTTTTCTATTATAAGTTATATAATTATCAACGTGGCTAGACTACACTATAGGTTCTATGTGAATAGGTGGATCTAGGCCTAGCTTTGTAGCAATACACTTCTCTGTCCGTATTAAAATATCGGTGGATTTAAAACTAATAGTTTCCAATCCATTTAGGGTCGATCTAGATTTTTCTAGAAACTTCGATATTATAAAAAAACTATATCTATGGCATTTTAAACCAATTTTAATAGGACAAATTTTCAAACTATAATTGAACGCAATGATTTTTATAGGCTTCCCCTCCCCCAATCTCAGACATAACTTAATACGTACTTTATTAAATTGGCCCCCACCGTGGCACCTTTATCAATTTAAATATACTATAGTTGTAGTGGTACAATTTAGTTGTATTATTTTTCGCTTTCGAGAAATAATTACTTATAAAAGTTATGTTTTACACGTTAAATGGAGAATATTAAATTGAATTTATAATGTTCTAGAATGTTCTAAATTATTCTACGGGATATATAATTAGATCTAAAAGCTTACTCGAACAAAATAGCATTGAGCATGATCCCATGGAGAAACGGGATCCTAATGGGACCCATCAGTTACTCGATCTCATCGGCAAACAGGATACCATCATCGAGATCCCATCGGGTAACGGGATCAGGATCCTATAAAAAAGGTATCAAATCGGAGAGAGAGTTCCCAGGTTAAACGGGATCCCACTGAGAACGGTATCCGAACGGAATCGGTAGACCACTGGTTTAAAAAAAAAAAACTTAGGAGATCAGGATCCCAACATGATTTTGATTCCCCTTGGATCCAGAGCCACAAGAAAATAGGATACCACCGTGAACTGGATCACACCGGGAAAAGGGATTGCGCCGGAATCTGGTTCAGAATGGGATTGGGGACTCATTAGAATCGGGGTTATACCAGGTTTTGGGTCTCAATGACAGACACTACAGGAATGATTTTCGCATGGGAATGCACTGTATAGTCTCCAAAATATGCGGAGAATTGATCATTTCTAAATTTTTTTTTCTTAAAAAAGTCTCTCCGCTTCGGAGCGCGAGTATTTTGCTAATATATATATACGTGAATGTTTGTGGGTTTGTTCTACATACGTTTTTACCCTGATCAATTGAACTTGACCTAAATGGTGAATATATAAATCATTTTCCATAATACAATAATGGGGAGTTTTGAACATTAAAAAAAAAAAAACGGTTGGGTCCTGGGGCCAAAAACATTTTGACCAAACTTTGCATAATTACACTTGATTATCCGTATTCAAATACAAATTGATACTGACCTCATATTATCCATTCCATTTCTGTAGCCACCCGCACCCCTTCCCATATCAGTCAAAACTAAATCAGTACAGTTATAAAATAAGCTCTAATCGGTCACCTTTATAAATTAAATGCAATATAGTCATTGCATGATATAAAGTTGTATGCTTCTTTGTTTCGAAAAAATATTTAAATAGGAAATTATTTTTTACACGTTTCAAGGAGTATATTAAATCTAATCTATAATGTTCCAAATATTGCTATATCTTTCTACGCGGTTATATAAGGGGGATTTAAAGGCTTAATGAAATATTAAGTTACCGGTAACGTGATTCCATCGGGTAACGAGATCAAACATTATTTTATATCTTATCTGGAACCTGGATCCTATCATAGGAGAGGATATCCCCGGGAAAATCATTCCTACCGGGATTGGGATCCCTCCGGTATCGGGATAAAATCGGGGTTGTGATCCTAAAGGCATCTGTATATCGACGCGATCGGGAATCCACCGATATCGTGATTCGGCAGGGAAACTGTGTCCCACCAGAATACCACGGTATAAGGATCCACCGGGATTGATATCCAAGCGTGATTGTGAACCCACCGGTTTTAGATTGGATACCAACGGGATCAAAATACCAACGGGTTCGTGAGCAAACACGGATGGATATCTCAACACGGTCAAGATCCCTCCGGGGACTTGGATAAATTGGAACAGAGATCCCATCGACAAACGGAATCAGATTGGGATCTCTCTTTGGTATCTGTTTCTCATCAGAGAATGAAAGATTCACAAAATATAATTATAATTTATCATATTTCTTTTTTATTTAGGAGACAAACTATTTAATATTTTTTACTACAATGGTGTTTTTTTTTTTTCAATTTTTTTTTTTACATTGCACTTAATTTCAATATTCATTGAAATGATTTGGAAGATGTTGGTTTTTTCGAGTACTTTGGCTAGTTGTATATTTTTAAAAAAAAGTATATTAAATTAGTTATATGAAATTACCCTTTATACAAGCTGTTTTAAATGTTTTGGATTCCTTGTATGTATGTAAGTATAAATCACAAAAATAAAATCATGATCTTGGAGTTACATTTAAATATTAAAAATACCTTTATGTTAAAGAACGACCTCGTATTTAACAGAATTCCTGCTTGTCATGAGACTGTATGAATAGTGTTCATCTTTGGAATCTATGATTGATTGACATAAATTCGCTGAAATAATAAAGAAGGCAATCCTATTAATAAGTACCATGTATTTATTATTTATAGTTATATATATATATATATATATATATATTTGTTTACAAGATTTTATACTAGCTAGAATGTCAAGCTTTCCCAGGATTCCATTGATATAAGTTAGAATAACAGAAAGTTAAAAGATTTATTTTTGTTATACATATTTTCTCCTGGTTTGCTGCTTCCTTTCAACAACTGACCCACCCTCCCCCCCATATCAACATGAATTATATTAAAATTGCTGGATGACTAAAAAATAAATATATCAAGACGAGAGCATCCTGTGTGATTATTGAACTCAGGTAAGAACATTGAGTGTTTTCGGACGCGACTTTGACATACATAAATAAAGAACCATATGTATGTTGTAGGACTATCGGTAACACCATTTGTAAGATATATGTAGATCTCTTGTTCAAATTATGACAGGTATGTTACAAGTATATCTGATTATTTTAAAAAAAGGATGTTCATTACATATTCAGCTTATTCCTAGTAATTGTATTTGGAATATATGCTGAAGAAACTGTACAGGATCAGAACCTTTGTTTCGGATAATTCATTTTTCTCTCAACAACATTTCGTTAACAAAATCTCCATTGTCACTATACAAAGGGTATCTTCCGGCTACAACAAGATGGCGGTATAATAATACACAATAGGAAGGAATCTCAGAGATAGACTCTTCAGTAAAGCAAGGGAGATTGTTAAAAATTATTAATGGAAATTGGCTTCGGCGCAAGAAAATTCGAACTTTTAATTAACTTTTATTTATTTGCGGTTTCATTCAGGATCAGAATTTTTGCTGTTATCAACGTATTTCTACTTCTAAATACAATTACAATATAGATGTGTAATCCAATATGAATGATCGTATGAGTACTAACACCTGGCTGCATGCCCCAACACATACAGCTGCTGATGAATTTTGGAATTCCAATTTCGATTTAAACAATTAATTAGGTTTGGTTAAAATGGGAACACATTTACATTTTTAAAACGCTGGAGATAATTTTTGTGTCACCCACATGGCCGCCATCTTGCTAAGCTGTCAGCATGCAACAGCTGCCATATCCTGGACAACGGCTTACAATAGCTGGGTAAACCAGGTGTGGGTAGATGATGGGCCTCAAGCACTCGGTGATTTAGGTCTGCCTACCTAATGCATGCAAAGACTGGACGTCGGCGGATCCTGCGGAAGAAACCATTTAGGTTCAACGGAGGTGAAGGCGATTACAGCAACGCACAGTGGAGTGCGTAGAGCAAGATGAGGCACGTAGAACATCTTGGTNAAACCAGACTCTCTGGCAAGGGTGAAATCACAGAAAGGCTTGCTGGCTATTCTTTCTTCTGGAGCGGGCGCGACCCTGACGCAAGGCGTGAAGCTGGTGTTGGCTTTGCTATCAAAACCTCTCTTGTGAGCAGGCTCCCCAGCTCTTCAAAAGGTATAAATGACCGTCTCATGACGTTGAAAATCCCCCTCTGCCCTGGAAAGAAGTCTGCCACCATGACAAACACAGAAGAGACCAAAAACAAATTCTATGAAGACCTGAAGACTGTTATCTCTTCCACACCGTCTGCTGACAAACTCATCATACTTGGTGATTTCAATGCACGTGTCGGCAGTGACTACACCTCCTGGGGGGGAGTGATTGGGAAGCATGGTGTTGGTCAGTGCAACAGCAACGGCCTACTGCTACTGCAGACCTGTGCTGAACATGACCTTCTAATAACGAACACCACCTTCAGCCTGCCAACGCGCAACCGGACCTCCTGGATGCACCCCCGTTCTAAACACTGGCACCTAATTGATTATGTCATAGTCAGAAATAGGGACCGCCAGGACGTGAGGGTGACTAAGGCCATGTGTGGCGCAGAATGCTGGACGGATCACCGCCTCATCGTCTCAAAGATGAAAATTCATATCCAACCTAAGAGACGACCTCAGGCCACGAAAGTTCCGAAACGCCTCAACATAAATAGGCTGAATATCCCTGATGTGAGACAAACTTTTGTTGACAGCCTAGATCAACTTGAATTCAAAAGCTGATGAAATACAGGGCTTTGCAGACAAGAAAGACATGAGAAACTTCTACCGTGGCCTGAGAGAAATCTATGGTGTCTCCACCTCAGGCACTTCCCCTCTCCTTTGTGCTGATGGTTCTACGCTCATTACAGACAAAGAGAAAATCTTGGAAAGATGGGCGGAACACTTTAAAAGTGTGCTCAATACACCTTCCATCATTAATGATGAGGCCATTGAAAGTCTCCCCCAGGTCCCAACGAACAATTCACTGGACGCCGTCCCAACTTTTGATGAGATACAGACAGCGATCGGCCAAATGTCCAATGGCAAAGTACCTGGCCCCGATATGATTCCTGCCGAAATCTACAAGGAGGTTGGACCAGCACTGACGGATAAGCTATTGGGCTTATTCCAAATCATCTGGCAGACGGAAACTGTACCACAAGACCTCAAGGATGCCTCAATCATCCACATGTACAAACACAAAGGTAACCACCAGACATGCGACAATCACCGCGGAATTTCACTACTGTCCATTTCAGGCAAGATCTTGGCCCGAGCCCTTCTGATCCGCCTGAATGCACATCTGGAGCTAGGTCTCCTACCTGAAAGTCAATGCGGTTTCCGCAAAAAACGCGGAACCATCGATATGGTGTTTGCTGCTAGACAGCTTCAAGAGAAATGCCAGGAACAAAATACAGACCTATATACTACATTTATCGACTTGAATAAAGCCTTTGACAGGGTCAATAGAGCTGGCTTGTGGAAAATCATGAAGAAATACGGATGCCCAGACAAGTTCACAAACATCATCCGTCAGCTGCATGATGGTATGATGGCCCAAGTACAGGACAACGGTCAATCATCTCCAGCATTCCCCGTCACAAACGGTGTAAAACAGGGTTGTGTTCTTGCTCCCACACTCTTCAGTATTATGTATTCCGCAATTCTGTCTGATGCGTTCAAGGACTCCACCATGGGCTTGCCAATCCGGTTTCGTACTGATGGATCAGTATTTAACCTTAGGAGGCTTCAAGCTAAAACCAAGGTCAAACATACCACGATCAACGAGCTTCTGTTTGCAGACGATTGTGCCCTTAATGCTCCATCAGAAGCCGTCATGCAACACAGTGTTGATATCTTCTCAGAGGCCTGCAATAACTTTGGCCTCACAATCAACACAAAGAAGACTGAGGTGATGTATCAGCCAGCTCCCAGTAAGCCCTACGTTGAACCCAACATCATCATCAGTGGACAGCGTCTCAACCCGGTGGATAAATTTACTTACTTGGGCAGCACTCTCTCTAGATCTGTCGTCATGGATGATGAAATGAATTTGGCAGGCTCCGCAGCACTGTTTGGGACAGGAGAGGTATCAGTCGTGAAACAAAGCTCAAGGTCTATAGCGCAGAAGTCCTCCCGACACTGCTTTATGGATGTGAAACGTGGACTGTCTACCAGCGTCACGCCAAGAAACTGAATCATTTTCACACTACCTGCCTCAGGAAACTCCTCGACATCAGGTGGCAAGACAAAGTCCCCGACACCGAGGTCCTCGCTAGAGCGAACCTACCTAGTATCTTCACCACTCTGATGCAGTCTCAGCTCCGTTGGATGGGACACGTAGCCCGTATGGCAGACCACCGGCTCCCGAAACAAATATTCTTTGGAGAACTCACGATAGGCAAGCGCTCCCAAGGAGGCCAAAGAAAGCGTTACAAAGACTCACTGAAAGTGGCACTAAAGGCCTTCAGCATAAACACTACTCAATGGGTGCAGACAGCCCAGGACAGAGCCAGATGGAGAGCTGCTGTCAAGAAGGGGGCTAAATCCCATGAAGCTAAGAGAATAACCACAGCTGAGACACGCAGGCTTGTCCGAAAGAGCAACATTAGGTCATCGTCTGAAGCAACTATTCCATGCCCACTGTGTCATAGATTATTCCGAGCAAGGATCGGTCTAACAAGCCACCTAAGAGCTCACCGTAATCCCAACCCCCCCGCCCGCCCCTAACCGGATGATTCGATGGTCCTTGTCGACTTCGACGGACGAACAACACCAGTAATTGTATGAAAACGTTTATTTTAAGTTTTATTAATATTAACGCTCTGTTAACTTAGTTAGTTCATAAATAACTCTCTTTCTATGTTAAGGCTCTATCTAATAACAAATTAAAATTTATATACATTTGTACAAAAAGATTGTTTTAAAAAACAACCTTTATCAAATCTTTACTTTATTTAATTATTATAAATTAAGTAAGTCAAGTAAGCAGATTCATATATGTGTATTGTTAAATAAAAATAATTTAGATTAGAGGTGTGTCTATTTACTACTACAATTTCATGTTTAAAAAACGAAAAAGTATTAACATCGGTTGAATTGATAATGCTGAGAGAGTTTTAAAATTGTATAATCTGTACAGAAAACAAGGAAACTTAAAACATTGGAACTGGTTATTTTACATTTCTTTTTTCAATTTTTTTAAAGAACTTCCCTGTATGAATAAGCATTGTAAGCAGTACGGTTCATCAAGCAAAAATACATATTTCAATTTTTTATAATGGGAATTTTTGAGGAAGCGACGCACTGTGCCTTCAGTCAAATGAAAAGAATGATACCAAAAGATTTTCAGCTGGTGATATAAAGAATTTAAAAAATTCACATATAGTACATGGGCGCACTCAGAAAACTTTCTGGGGAGTGGGGGGGTAAAAAATGGACTAACTTTCAGGTGGGGGGGCAAAAAAATTTTAGTAATGTTTTAATCTAGTTTTAATTTACTGTAGTGTATTTGTATGTTAAACGAACGGAAAGGACGTCAGCTTAGTTACTTTCTCTTTATTTTCTCTTTACTTTAATCAATTGTTGGTATATTTTTGTCTAAAAAATTTTATCCAATCAATCCAGGGGGGGGGGGGTAAGTGCCGCCTTGCCCCTACCTGCGGGCGCCCATGATATAGTATGGTGGCACTTTGATTTAAAAACATATTTTTCATTTAATTTTATTGAATAGAAGCTTTTTTTTATTTATATATACACTTTTTTCATTAGCCACATGTCTATCTTTTTGGATAAGGATTTCCCACCCTTGTCTAAAATTGTTTATTCAGTAATGGGGTCTTCATTGAATATGTACACAAAAAGTCAAATTTTCGACTTCTTTCCCCCTGTTACATGTGCAGGTTTAGAAAACAGCACCAACTCCTTTGCATACGAAAATTAGATTGAAAGGCTATCGTGAACAAAAAATGATAGTAATTTTATTATATGTGACGGTATAAATGTGTCACATATTATAACCACTTTTTTGCGAGCCCCTATTCGTTTCAAAAATATTTACCGCATACCCAGGGGAGCAGCCTTGTCATGCACTTTGTACTTTATTTAATAAAAATGTTAACGCTCATCTCGAAGAAGTGTATATCGAATTGGATAAGTGCGACTTTTTAAAACCTAAATTTGTAATGTTAGTGAAAATGTAATAAAAAATCAATGAAACCACTTGCAAAGTCGAAAAAACAACCAAATAACTTTACGCACATTCAATATATGAAAGTGTTATCCAAAAATGTTGGCCTGGTATTTCGGTATATTTTTTTCCCTGCCCAACGTACCATTCATTCGTCATGCCCTTGCGACATAAATTAGATCTATATACCAAAATTTAATCAGACTTCATCACACATTCGTGGACGCATCTTGGATCGCATAGACAATTCATCTAAATGACGGAGATACCTTATGATTGCTTCAAGGGTGAATGATGGACTAAATATTACAGTTGTCACGGTACTGCTTTGTTTACTTGTGAAAACACAAATCAGCTGTACGATGACAATTTAAGATATTGCGTGCTAACTTTAGCGATATAAATTGGCTTTTTATGTATTTTGAAATTGCCTAATAATTATAATTATAGAAGAATTACTATTTTTTTTTGAAATGCATGTAAGTACCTTTCCACCGCCCCCCCCCCCCCCCCCCCCTCCAAAAAAAAAACAAAAAAAAAAAAAAAAAACCTGAAGCGTACTACAAACCTTTCAAATCGACAAACTACTTCCACCTCAGTGCTGTTGCTCTACACCAGGTTTATAATGATACGTTTTACAACTTTCAAGTTACGAAGAGAAAGTAACATCCAAAGTAATGATTTCTTATAATGAGCAAAGGTGGCGCATGCAACGCGCACAGTTTAAATGTTTATATGAAGCAGTATATACTTATTATATACGTGTCTGCTTTTTTAGTCAAGCACTAAAAAAAAAATCAAATATTTTTTTTAAAATAAAGTAGGACTGCTAAATACATATTTATTGTTTTATCAATTGAAATGATCTTAATGGTGTGTCTTATCGAAGGAAATAGAAACAAAAAATTAATTACTTACAGGAAATAACATGCCACACAATTTCTCCTTGTCCTCAACTCGTACATACAAGAGCACACATCTTACAATGTTTCCCTATTAGCTTTGAAGATTTGATTCCGTTCAACATTGCAACGCCTTTATATTTAATGAATCATGACGTCTTCAATCATGTGTTCTTAGACTACGATAATTGTTTATAGCAACCACCGCTTGGTAACGCTCCTTTATACAAAAATGTTTGTTTAACATTAGCCAGGAGTGTACTGAATGGTAGCCTATGATATTAATACTTGCTCTACTTAATCGGGGAACATAATCCTAAAGGGATCGATATTTAAAATTGATCGGAATACAATCGGGATCGTGAAACCACCAGTATCATGACCCCGCCGGGGTATGGATCTCACTGGAATTGGGAAACTAAGGAGAACGTAATACAGACGGAATTGTGATTGAAGCTGCATTTTAATCTAGGGGGACTTGAATCACAACGGATTCGGCATACCGACGGGTATAAATATCAATAAGATCGGGATCCAATAGGAATGTGCATCCAAAAAGGAATGGAATCCATTTGGATTAGGATAATAATGGGATCGGTTTAACTGGTTCGGGCTCATTCCGGGTACCGAGATACCATCAGAAAACGGGATCTCACCGGGAAACGGGATCCGAATGGGATCTCTCTAGGATGAGGATGTCATGAGAGAATGAAAGTTTTACAAAAGTTTTTACATTTTTTTCTAATAAAGTGTTGTTTTGTTTTTTAAATAATGCATAATTTTAATGTTAATTTAAAGGCTGTAGAAGTTGTTATATTTCCGAATTCAATCGCAGGTATTGCCGGGTATATTGGTTAGACTATATAAATATATTTAAGTAAAAATTGTTTGCTTGTTCGTTCAACGTATTGAAGGATTTTTACAAATCTTGAAACATATATTAATCATTATCCTTAAAAAACAGTTAGGGGGGGGGGGTGAATAATTTGTTTACATTCTTTTGGGGACAGGGGTTCCTGATTTCGTTTTATTTTTTTCTAAAGTAAGCTATATTGAATAAAAATTAACAATAAATACTCCTACATGATTGATGAATCTTGACCAAACTTAGTAAGCATACCCTTGATTATTAATATTCAAATACCGAAGGGTACTGAACTCATAATATACATTTCACTTGGGCCAAGGTCAATGTAATTTTTTCTGAAATAATCTTTATCAACATCACCAGGCTTGTTCTACACTATAGGCGCTTTGTGAATTCGTGGATCCAGGACTAGTTTTGTAGTAGAATGCTTTATAGTCCCTACTAAAATATTTTGGGAATAAAACTAATATGTCTAACCAATCTAAGCGCTTATGGAGTTTTCCAGAAATGTTGTTAATTTAATAAAGTAATTAAGCCATACGTGCCATTTTTAAGCCGATTTAATGGGACGAATTATAATGTTATTTTTATTATTCATCTGATCGTTTTTTGTAGGTTCTCCTACATCAGTCAAAACTAAATCGGTACAATTACGGAATTAGCACCCGCCCAGGTCACTCTTTTAATTTAAAAATACTATAGTTAGTTTAAGCATTTAGTTGAATAATCTTTGGTATTCAATAAGTAATTACATGGAAAATTCTTTTTCTTCATACGTTTCGAAAAAGATATTAAATTTAATGTAGAATGTTCCAAAAAATGCTATATTTTTCAAGGGGATATATAAAGGGATCTAATGGCTTAGTAAATGTTAATTAAGTTATGTTAATTTATATTGTTCAATGGGTATTTTCTTTAAACATACCCTTTTTAATTCTACCGGGAACAAAATACCACTGGGAACATAATTTCAACAAGGAACATAATCTAAAAGGGAACCAGAAAACCAGAACACACACGTTACGTGATTCCATCGAGTAAATGGATCAAAAAGGGATCAAGTTAATAAAAGGGATCCCATCGCAGAAGAGTGTCCCACCTGGAAAATTCCCCCTCGATTAACTTAAAGGAAAAAGTGTTAGTTGTGGCAATTATTGTACATTTTTAGCATTTTTGAAAAATAATTACGTAGAATGGTAATTTTTACACCTGTTTTAGGTGTTTATTAAATTTAATCTAGAATTTTCCAGAAAATTATGTTTTGTTCCACAAGGATATACAGTGGAATCTAAAGACAAACATAGTGAAACCACCGGGACCAGGATGTCACTAGAATCTGAATTCCATCGAATCAAGGTCCCACCGGGAATAGGATACCATTTGATAAAGGTATCATATTGGGATAAAAACAAGAACATTACGATCGGGATCATCCCGGGATAGGGATTTGAACGGTATTGGAATTAACTGGGATCCATTTGGTACTGAAATTTTATTGCAAACGGGATGCATTGGCGATAAGGATAAAACCGGGATAAAGGTATGACAGGGATCGGGATCCCATAGTGAAATTGGATCGTATTTGGTAGATGGATCCAGTTGTGATCCTTTAGTCCTTGGACCGTTGGGAGGCAATAGATGACATGTAAACCATCCACTTCATTCCTCTCTGTCTTCAGCACTACGCACTGCATCGCCCATTGCTAGTCATGTCCACTCTTTGATGTTCTCCTCCCATCTTTTTTCTTTGTCTTCCTCTTCTTCTCCCTCCTCTTGTGGTGGCCTGCAATATTTCTTTGGCAAGCCCTTGTTTCCTTGTTACGTGGCAGTACCATTGTAGTTTTCGTTTTTTAACAGTCACCAGTACGTCATCATACTGCCCAATGGCCTGACGAACCTTTTATTTCACTGTATCTTTGGAGATATTGTCCCTAGAGCTGATGCCGAAAAGGCTTCTGAAGCATCTCATCTCTGTCGCCTTTATTTTCTTTTCAAGATCGGCTGTTAATGTCCAGGTTTCGCAGGCATACAGGAAAATGGAGAGAACTAATGAACACATCAGCCTGATTTTGGTGCTAGGGGCTATATTTTTGTCATTCCATACATATTTTCTTGAGCTTCCTTAGTGCTTTTGTAGTCTGCGCAATCCTGGACATCAGTTCAGGCTTCGAACCTTCTTCTGAGACTTTTGCTCCTAGGTATTTAGTCCAGCAGTCTCTAGTCTTTCCTCCTCGACCTTAATTTCAGTGGTGATGCCTGCTTTATTATTTGTCATCAGTTTTGTCTTTTCGACACTGATTAGCATGCCGTAGTATGACGAGGTCTTATCGAGACGCTTTATCACGTTGGCTAACACTTCTTCGTTCCCAGCCAGTCCGTCTATGTCGTCCGCAAAACGCAGGTTGGTGATTCTTCTGCCAGCAATGCTGACTGCCCCTTCATGCGCTTCGAGAGCATCTGACATAATTCTCTCTGGGAAAATTTTGAACAGGTTGGGGGGAGAGCAGGCAGGCTTGTCGTAGTCTAACCGTGGTCTTGAACCTTTCTCGGATGTTGTTGAGGAAGACTGCACTAGTGGCCTTATCACAGAGGTTGCATATCGTGCTTATTAGGTTTGTGTTGATATTGTAGTGCCTCATGGTGGCCCATAAAGCAGCATGTCAAACCCTGTCAAATGCTTTTTTGAAGTCCACAAAGACTTGGTATAGGTTTTGTTGGTGTTAAGCATATTTCTCACGTAGTATTCGGAGGTTTAGAATCTGCTCAGTAGTGCCCCGTCCTTGTCTGAAGCCCTCATGTTCCTCAGCAATGATTCCGTTGGCGTATCGTTTTAGTCGGTTCAAAATTACTTTCAGCATGACGTTGCTTGGATGGCAAAATTCCAAAAAATTCGATGGAATTGGGATAAGCTTAATTTCAATTTTTTCTCTGTTCATATTGAATTTGTTATTTACTAAATGGTAAAATGCTTAATATTTTGACATGGAAAAAGAGATGGCTGACATCTAAGCAATAGTATGGTTACGCACTGGCTTCAATTGAAAGAAATTAATCTTTTGTTTTAAGTTATGTCTCGTTCACACAGTGCACAACAAAGGACGATACCATGGAGAAATACACTAATAAAGATATGACACGCAAAAACAGTGGCCAATTACAATTAATAAGTTTTAATTTAGTAATAATACAATTACAAACAAAAGAAATATAATTAAAAATCATCAACTAACAGAGTATCGAGAAATCTTGTACCGGTACACAATTAGTACAAAGTGCCATTTAATAATGATGAAAGCGCATAAACACCCATTAGCGCACAAAGAAATAATACACGTCACGTGAAGTTAAAAACATCTATTTGTATCTTCCCCCCCCCTTAATCTCTAAATCCCTTTTTTTTATCAATGCGTTGGTACAACCAATGCTTCTAGAAATGTCTTTACTTTTCTAATACATTCTACAAAATACTATTGAGAACAGATTAATTATTTTTAGTTGCTGTCGGAAGTGAAAACGTTAAAATTAAAGGAATAAGCCACGCCCATCTACGAACATAGCGTGTGCTAGGAATCTAAATTTGCGTGAAGCAAAGTTCACTCACGGGGAAAGGTGCATACATAACAATATTTTTTGTTTAAATTCAAATTAAAAACAACTCTTTTAGAAATTAAAAAAATTGTCAAGGAAACAATTAGCGAAAATCATTTAGATGTGTTGTTTATCTATATATAATGTAAACGATTCATAATTTAATATCAGCATTGGATAGACTGCAAAGTTATTAAGCTAAATTAAACACCACTTGTATTCCTGTAATTTAACAGAGTTACCCAAATGGTGGTCTTGGGGCTAACGTTGCAATTTTCAAAATTTGGAAAATGCATGGTCCAAATTAATTTTTTTTTAAAATATATAATGCAATCTTGCATCAATGCATTTAGAAATTGAAGACGTGTCAACAAGTCCACTGGATTTAAAGGTTTGGGTAAAGCTGGCCTAACATATACTTATAAAAGTGCAATTCAATAATATGTATCCAAATATTGACAATATAATTTTTTTCTAAAAAAAATCTCTGATTGAATATTTAAATTGTAGTAATTCGTGGCAGCTCTAGATTTTATAATTTAATTTATCATTTTAGAAGATCAGTCATATAGTGGCACACATAATCATTGTTTTATAGTTGTTTGTGTAAGTGTTAGCGGGACTGAGGTCATACTCAAGAATATCTATTATTAAATCAAACTTTAAA